AACATTTATCCCGGCCGCCGGGTGTTTTTGCCGCCGCTGCCTGTCCTGCTTAGCAGCCGACTCATCCTGGGCCCGCAGTGCGCATGTGTGGAATGTCTGAGGGACAGTGAACTGGCCCCCTGTTTAAAAAGTTTGAGGACCTCTGCTCCAGGCTCTCTGTCTAGTACTCCAATGGCTGATTAGGTTCCCTTTCCCAGTCTCCAAAATGACTAATTCACATACTTTCTCCTGTCTCAAATCTCCCACACCTTATCTCTCCTCCTCACGCTCTCAGCTGAAGAGCTTGACTCTTCCTTTTTAGAGAAAATGAGAACCAGTGAGAAGCAGTGGTATAGTGGTCAATGGCTAAGAACCAGTCTTGGGGGCCCTGATGTCCCAAGGTGCAGATGCTCCCACCTGCCAGGTCTAAGTTACCAAAAAGAAGTCAACAGGTGCCCGGTTGGCATGGCTCAGTGGTTGGGCATCATGCCTGTGAACCAGGAGGGTCACTGTTTGATTTCTGGTCAGGGTACATGCCCAGGTTTTGGGCTGCATCCCTGGTAGGGGGGCATGGAGGAGGCAGCTCACCCATGTTTTGCTCTCACATGGATGCTTCTTTCTCTCTCTAAAAAATCAGTTTTAAAATCTTAAAAAAATAAAGAAATGGGAAAAAAAAAGCTTGATTCTTTTTCTAATCGTACAAGGCCTTCTCCAGCTCTCTTGAATCGACCTCTGCTTGTCCACCTTCCTCCAGCCCCTCTAGGCCTAAGGCCTTTGTAGTAGCCATTTTCTTTGCCTGGAATATGCCCTCATTCAGGGCTGAACTCCAAAATCACCCGCACACAAAGGCCTTCCGTGATTCTCCAACCTGAAATAGCACCCTTCACAACTTCCTAATGCAGACTCGTAATTTTTAAAATTTTATTTTAGCCCTAGCTGGTTTGGTTCAGTGGATAGAGTGCTAGCCTGCAGATTGAAGAGGACCCAGTTTCCATTCTGGTCAAGGACATATGCTCGTACTGTGGCTTGATCCCCAGTAGGGGGCGTGCAGGAGGCAGAGATCTAGGATTCTCATCATTGATGTTTCCATCTCTCCCTCTCCCTTCCTCTCTGAAACCAATAAAAATATATTTTATAAATAAGTAAAAAGTTATTTTAGCACTGGCTGGTTTGGATCAGTGGTTAGAAGTCGGCCCACGCACCAAAGTGTTGCAGGTTGGATCCCTGTCCTAGACTAGGGGTGCCCGTGGGAGGCAACCAATCCATGTCTCTCCCTCCCTCTCCCCCTATCCCTTCCTTCCACTCACTCTCCCTCTTTAAAAAATCAATAGAAAAAAATATCCTCAGGGAGGATTAAAAATTCAGTTTTAATATTTCCCTTATCACTACTGTGCATTTATTTCTAGTCTGTCAGCGAAGAGTCAGAACCTTTGTGTCTTTCTTTCGAAAGCATGTTCTGTACCTAGAAAAGGTGGTTTGGTACCTGAGTTAATGTTTTCAAAGGGCCATACATTCAGGTGGTCTTTTAATTTCGTTCCCCATCATAAGTGAATTTGATATAATTTAGGAAGAAGTACCTAATTTTGAACAAGTAAACAATTCCAGTACAAAAAATTAGGATTGGCATAAAAAGAATGTATCAAACACTCACCAACAAAAGAAGGTGGGGCTTTAGAACACAAAGCTTGCCAGCACTCTGGTGTGGGTGGAACCTAATTATATTGAGTCACCACAAGTGGACAGGGAGGACAAACAAAACATGTCCTGGGGGTATAGCTCAGTGGTAGAGCATTTGACTGCAGATCAAGAGGTCCCCGGTTCAAATCCGGGTGCCCCCTCACATGACCTTGATGTTTTTCTCTCCTCACTCAGGCGTAACCCATAGTAACACGAATGCAATCCCACTAACACAGGCACTTCTAAGCTGTCCCCCACGCAGCAGGAAGAAGCTTACTCTCAATAGGTGGAAAGGAAAAAAAAAAGAGGTGGAAAGGAAGCAACCAACTCTTACCTTCTTACCCTTTGAGACTGTTCGACATCTATTGGCCTTGGAGGTGGGCAGGGCAGTGTTATTTTGCCTAGTTTATACTCTGACAGGGAAGACTAGGAGAATGAATCCAAAGTTCAATTTATATAACTGCAAAGTTTAACCAGACATATACAGATAGCCCAGCCGACGTGGCTCAGTGGTTGAGCATCGACCTATGAACCAAGGTTCGATTCCCGGTCAGAGAATATGCTTGGGCTGCAGGCTCCATCCCCAGTGTGGAGCGTGCAGAAGGCAGCTGATGGATGATTCTCTCATTGATGTTTCTCTCTCCCCCTCTCCCTTCCCCTGGGGGGAGGGGGGAGGATTCACAGATAAAAGGTGAAAAGTGGACAGCTTTCTCCTCCATATTAGCTCAAAGAAAAGCCTTAGGCCTGGGGTAAGTTTGAGGCCTCGTGTCCAGGAGGGTCTAGGTTTTGCACCAGGAGGACAGCTTTGCCCATGTCCAGCCTCAGACACACCAAACAGTAATGGGAGCCGTGGGGAAAAGGCACTGGAGTATTATCCCCCAGGGCCCCGGAGGGATGACACAACCAAATTCCGGGTTTAAAATATCGCAGGTGCCCTCTGACCCCAGCAGCATGCCTTTTCCTTTCTCCTTTATTTTTCCTTTTTTGGGGCAAAGCCTAGTCGAAAGGGCTGTCCGTACTCCCTTCACATTGACTGTTTTCCTCTGGCCTAGCAACCATACTGTCAGTTATGCAACCAACAAATATCTGTCCCTACCTTTAGGCTATGGAACTCCATAGCCTGGAATTACTGGTGTAGTGGTTCTCAAAGTGTGGTCCCTTCACCAGCAGCATCAGCACCTTCTGGAAACTTCTCAGAAATGCAAATTCTCTTGGGAGCCCACTCCAGGCCGATGGAATGAGAAACTGGGGGTGTTTTGTAATTCTGATGCACACTCAAGTTTGGGAACCACTGCATTAGTTTATGTCAGTTTGTATTAGGAGGTAACTTTATTTTTGTAAATTAAAATGAGCTTATGGGATGTGCATGGGGGCATTTTAACCTCAAAAGCGCTGTGACTCTCTACCTGTGTTATGAGCAATAGCACCTTCATGTCACCGGTAATTAAAAAAAAAGTTGAAGTTTGGAGAAAGGCTGTGGGTTCCTTCCCCTTGACCCACCCACATCCCCATCCGAAACGGCACGCCAACTGGGGGTAGTCATTTTGTCCGCGGAACCCGTGGCCGCGGAAATCCCGACACCTCCAGCGCCAGCAATCACGCCAGATTTGCCCACATGTCCACCCTTCCTCCTCCTGCTAGGTGCAAAGCAAAACCGAAAGCTCTCCGCTGAGGTTGGAAAACGAGAAACGCATTTTTGAAAAAATCGTTTCTGTTTTCTTTTAATCCAGGACTCAATGTTACAATAAAAAAAGTCAGGAAAGACGGTGCTATATTAGTCACAGGGAAGAAAAGCCACTAAGGGGGCACCCGGATTTGAACCAGGGACCTCTTGATCTGCAGTCAAATGCTCTACCACTGAGCTATACCCCCGCGCCGCTCTGGCTCCTGGAGATGGTTCTTTGGATGCACCGAGGGTGGGAGAAAGGAATAAAGGAGAAAAGGGGGCCAAGCGGAAAGCGGAAGGTGCCGGAGTCAGGGAACTCCGGGAAGCCCGCCCGGAGAGGGGAGAACTAGCCCGGGCTGCGAGGCGCTGAGAACCGGCGGGAGGGACAGGTTCCGCCCCGCAAAAGTGGGAGAAGACGTGAGGGGGCAGGGAGGCTAATGTAGGTGCGGGGCAAGGGGTTCCCATTCCGTCCGTGGGTTCATGCCAGGTAGCGACGGGTACAAAGGAAAGGCCCCGAATGCGGGGATCAGTTCGGGCCTTCAGGGGTGTTCCAACCCCACCCTGGACGGGAGGCGAGAGGTTTGCCCGCCTCCCGGCTGCCCC